GACCTGCCCTCTCTCTCTGCCACTCTTCTCCTCCTGCTCACACCCCCAGTGGCTTATCATGTCCGCTGGCAAACTGCGAGACGCCTGTCAAAACCCTGCTCACTTGCCACCTCCCCAGTCAGGCAACCTCCTTCACCCTGGCCACCAGCTGCTTGAGTCACCTCTGTCCTTCATCACGATCTCCTGCAGCGCGGACTCCATTCACTTTGTGAATGTCTTGCTCTCCTGACCCCGAGTGCACTGAGGTTTTCATCTCCAGCCCTGGCCTGACAGCCCAAGAAATGGTTATGGAATGAAATTAATTTTATTTTATAGATGAAGAAACTGAGGGTCAGACAAGTCATATGTCCTGCTCTGGGGGGTCCACCCACAGGCCCTCAGGAAGGACTCAAATCTAGGTCAGTCTGACGCAGTCACCACGCTTGTCACTCCCAGACGTCTGCTCAGTCAATTTCCTGCATAATCGTGGGGGACTAACATGGCAATTGCTGACTTATTCTTTTGCCAAGAAAGGATGTTAAAAGGAACAAGCAGACAGGCTCCCATCTACTGATGGCACCACGTCATAACCCGTGGCACAGAAGGAAGGGCATAATTGAACCCTAATTCAATAGGAAAGACATAATTTCAAGAATAAAGGACATTCTCTCCTTTAAAAGGACAGATGCTAACCACACAGGGACCCTGGCCGTGTGCTGATGGAAGCTTCCTTGTGACTTAGCGTTTGGCAATAACTGGAGCGATTGTGGGGTATTATCCCAGGTCATGGTAGAAGGGAAGAGTTAGTGTTCCTGGGAATGGTGGGGACAGGCACACCTGCATAGTAGGAGCCAGCTGTCCCGACTGTGTACTAAAGCCACACGTTTTGACAGTGCACAACGAGGTGGACACCCGCTGCTTCCCTCTAACCAGAGAGAGCAAGGTTGGGAATGGGAGCACCAGCCAAGCCCTGGGGGAGTGGCGGGGGGGCGGGGCAAACCCCCAGATCCGCGCCGCGCTGAGGGTGGCAAGCTCGCGCCTTCTCCCTTGGCAGCCGCTAGAGGTCGCTGCGGCCCCTCTCCACGGTGCCCAGCCCCCAGCGGCCGGAGCGCTTCACTCCTGGACAGTAGGTAGCTCCGGGTCAGGCAAGCCCGTGGGGTCACCCACAACGACAGGATAATGGCACATGCTTCCACTCAGGGAAAGCCTCCAATCCCCAACCCGCATTTGCTCATTTCCTCCATTCCTCTCATTGCTGGGATTATCCTCTCCCTTCTTTTAAGAGGTCCAACTGATTAAAGGTGTCAGGCTCATCCAAAAAAGATAAGTCCCCACATCAAAGCAGCATTAAAACCCTGCTCCCGCTTCTAGGCAGCCTTTCAAGATCTCCCCTCCTCTCTCTGGCTCCCTGTCTCAAACGGGGGTTGTGGTGTGCCCTTCCCACTGAGCGAGGGCTGAACTGCAATTGCTCCTCTGTCTCCCTGCTGAGACCCAGGGTCCCCTGACCCTAGCATGGTGCCTAGCAGGTATCCCACCCTCGATGCATGCTTGTGCAGCCATGGCACGGCGGGGTCTGGGTCTGGTCATCTTTGGATTGGAAGATGTCAGCAGCTCTCCGGGCTGGGTATTCTGCTTGGATAAATGCCTGTCTCCATGGAGCTTCTGTCCCCCCCATGAGGATTGGTCTGGATAAACACTTCTCAAACGCTTACTAAAATTAGAATCTTCAGGGGTAAGGCACAGGAATGGAATTTTCATATTCACTGCAAAGAATCTTGATAACCAGTCTCTGGGGCCGCTGATGGCATATTCTGTTGCATTTTATGCCTCTAAAATTTGTGGTCTCTGAACTGTTGAGGCCACGTAGTGGATGATTCACCAAGATGATGAGCACTCTGTCACGCGCACATCCCCACCTGGACCAATATACTCTTTTCTCCTGGCAGCTCCTGGGATTGCTGAGCTTAGGGGCAGTCCTAGCCAGTGCCATCACCATGCCCCTCACTCACCCGTGACAGAGCCCGGCTGGCCAGCACCTCAAAGGCTTGCACCACGTTGATGTCATTTTTGGCACTGACTTCAAAGTAGGGAATGTCCTTCTCTTTACACCAGCCTTGGACTACCTCCTGGGGCACCTAGGCAAGGAAGGAAAAATGGTCACCATTCCTGTATCATTGCCACTGCCACTGCCATGAGCTAATATAACCCTTTCTTCTTCATAAATTACTTAGTCTCAGGCATTCTGCTATAGCAACAGAAAATGGACTGAGAGAGTCATTTCCTCATCTCCATCACACGACACCTATTCCCACCATGGTTACGTCCCCAGCCTTGTCATACCATATTACCACCGTCACTCTTATTTGTCAAGAACCTTCCACATGCCTATACCTACACATGTCAACAGAGATCTAGTTGAGATAGTTCTTATTAGTTCCATTTTACAGATGAGAAAATAGACCTTAGGAATGAAAAGCTTTGCTCAGAGTCTATGTATCTGAGCAGGATTTGAACACAGGCCTGGCAGAATTGGAGTCCGTTCATATGCTGCTTCCTAACATCTAAACCAGGAGCTTCTTCCTGTCATTGACTCCTTGTTTAGTCCTACGAGGGGAGATGGCCATAACAGACACAAGCCAGGAAGGGCAGGGAGGGAGGACTTCCTCTCCCCAACCCCCTGCAGCTGAACAGACCGCTACTCAGGAGACCTGTTGCTGGGCAGGAACTCGGCTCCCTCCTGGCCCTTTTTCTCCAGGGTAGAGTTTGAGAACAGTTAAAAAGCTCTGGACCAGGCACCGTGTTAAGTACTTTATCATATTTTAACTCACCTGATGCACTCACTCTCACTATGGAATGGTTATTATTAACTCTACTTTATAGACAAGTACAATGAGGCTCAGAGAGGCCCAGAGACATGCCCCACATCACACAGCTGAGAAGGCAGAGCTTGGATGCAATCCCAGCAAAGCATTCTCCTGGCACCTGAGCTGGCTTCTGCAGGACACTGCATATGAACCCTGCTTCTCCTTTTCTGTTGCTCCCACTGGACTGTGGATTCTTTGAGCTCAGGGTCAGGACCCTTTTAGTGCTTGGCCTGGGCCATAGGAAAGACATCTCCCAAATGCAATGGCTGATTAGAGTCTGGGGGAGTTGGATGGGAAAAATGTTCTGGCGGCACTTCGGATTACTTCCAAAGACAACTGGTACCACTGAGTTTGGAGATTCATTGGTTATTTGGGGGAGAGGGAGATGAATACATATGGAGTGCTTGCTGTGCCTGGTGATATATAACTGTTACTTCAATTCATTTAAGGGATCCAAGATCTGTTTCTTAGGGAGAAAGGACCTTTCTCTTGAACGCAGTGCAGGCAGGAAGAGATCCAATTGCCTCCTTCACTCCTGCAGATTCTGGGAACGCCATGATGTCCACTGTCTCTTGGTCCTTGCTCCCCTGGACCCAGGAGTGGCAGTAGGTCTAGTGGCTCATGTTTTTCTTTCACAATGCTTCCGTTGTCCCCAGCATGGCCTTGGCACTATGAGGCTTGTGATCCAAGACTGAAGGGTGACCACTGAGACCAGTGAAGCGGTCTGTTGTTTGGGTGCTGCCTGTGAGTCTCCCACGTACTGTTAACTTGAACAGAGCAGGGAGAATCTCCAGGCCGTAGTCATGGCCTCTGATCTCTGAGCCTTTGGGAGGAGGAGTGTTCTGTCCTCTGGAGCATAGATGCTCAAGGATCAAGAAACCAAGTGGTGACCAAGATCCCTCACAGCTCACGGAAAACCCTCAACTATCTGGAGGAAGAATCAAGGCTGACTGAGCTGCTGGTTAGAATCATCCTCATCAGTGACATGCATGAAAATCAAAGGTCATTAGAAATCAACACACTAGCTGGGTACCATGGTGCACGCCCGTAATCTTAGCAACTAGGGAGGCTGAGACAGGAGGATTGTGAGTTCAAAGCCAGCCTCAGCAAACGTGAGGCAGTAAGCAACTCAGAGACACCCTGTCTCTAAATAAAATACAAAATAGGGCTGGGGATGTGACTCAGTGGTCGAGTGCCTCTGAGTTCAATCCCCAATATACCCCGACTCCCACCACAAAAGAGGAAAAAAATCAATACACTGAACTTTGATTACATTTTAGGCGCTCAAAGGACTTTGTAACTTATAAAGCATTTGAAGGCAAAGTCTGGACTTCAACTTCTTATGGTTCCTTCCTTCTTTCAGTCCTGCCCCCTGCCCAGCCCCCCCTTCCCGCAGGAGCTGAGCATCTAACTGGGCACACGGTGGGAAATCAGGAGCTATTGTGAAGTTGAAAGGAAAGGAAAGTAAGGTGACTGCTTCTCCAGGAGGCAGTGGGATTCTTTATCTTTCATGGCATTAAAAGCAAAAGCTCAAGATGGGTGCCCAAGGCCTCCCAGTGACACAGCAGGGAAGGCAGGCGGGCGGTGGTAGCTGCTAATCTCAGCGGTCCCTTGCCTCACCAGAGGGTGACCAGGACAGTCTGGGTGCCCAGCCAGGACAGACACGTTATCTCATTTTCCCCTGCTCTTTCTCTGTTTTTGAGGAGTGATTGAATACAAACTTCAGTGTACCACTGGAGATTATGTTGCAAAGTCATTTTTTTTAATCTCTCTCCAGGCCTCCTCCGCCCTCAGAGAGCTGGCCTGGGAAGGATGCCACACAGACAGGGCTTTTCGGTTTTCTCTGCCAATTCCAGCCTCAGTTTCCTATTTTTAAAGATTGTCTTATCTTTTATTTATTAAGTATATATTATTTATAACATTATTTATAACTTTGAAAATAAACTCCAAGTGTGGTTCTTGGGGACATGAGACACAGGGGAATTTTAGAAGAGCGACTTCCATTAATTTTCCTCATGGTGGACAACAGATGCCTAACAATTTTCTTTCTCTGATAGGTTTTTGCTCATTCATTGGAGGACAAATGTTGGAAAAGATTAGTCCAGTCTGCATCATGTATTTATGATGCTTTTCCGACTCTTATGCACTTAAAAATGA